CTCCCCATGGTCGCGTGTTTTTTTTCTGCAGGCCCTCCTTAATTTAGAGTATATGACTGCTATACATTTCCACGTGATAAGCCACGTTATGGAGCTATCATTTGTCGCCAGGTTGCATCGGAAAAAAGAGCAACATAGCTCAGCAGGCCTTACCTTGTAAAATATCAATATTATTTTAGTATTTTTTTTTCAATTTGCAATATGTGCTGGGACCTACCAAGGGCATGCAATTCAAGGCTGCCATTATCGACTCCTCAATTAATATCTTAATCTGTCGATGACTGTTTCTATTTTGATTGAGTAATATATTAAGTGTACAGATTGCATGAGATTGAACAGCCTCACAAAAGTGAGTGGCTCAAACAGCAGAAAGCAAAGATTCCTATCATGCCTTGTATGCATTTTATGTACAATGCTCATCAGCCTTGTTTAAGCCACCTGCTCGATATGTTCAGCTCCATTGAGTTGGTGGTCTACTCAAGGTTGGGAGCATTACCTTCCTGCTGTTTTGTCAGTAGCACACCCCTATGTCCCATTAATATTATCCAGTTCCAGCTCGGACTCACTTGTGTAAAAAAAAAATCTAAGTGCTTTCCGGACCAAGACGCAAGTTACCACGCATTTCAAATCACCATCATTGAGCGAGTTGATAGAACTTCAACGTTCCCGTGGCAAGGACAAGTCTCTCCACAAGATGACCATTGTTGACATCTCACCGAGTGGCACTCGGTGTTATTTTTTTCCAATCCCGAGTAGGATGACAGCTGAGTCAACAGTGGAAGAGGACATGATCCCCCTGACCATCCGTTTACAAGTCCGGAGCATTCTTACCTTTAAAACAACACAGATGGAAGTGTTTGGCTCAAGCCTGGACCAAAATCACCTGACCGTAAAATGAAGACCACTCCGCCAAGATGAACCGGCACAATAATTAGCGTTTCTGAATTAATTCCTCATTTCGTTCAATTAATTCCCATGCACATTAATTCATGCACCCATCGATCCATTGAGCCAGCTATTTTCCTGGAATCCATTCACCCGTTTATTTCATTTTTTTCCCTCTCCCTCCCTCTCTCTTTTCACAGAGGACTAGGATTTTTAAACGCTCAGCAAATGCTACCCACAGAAAGTGAAGGTCAGAAGCAAAACCAGCCTTGAATGTTAAAAAGCTACGTTTAAAAAAAAAAACTGCACGAGACACCCAGAGTAAAAGTTGCCGTAAAAGGTTAAGAAATGCTTGCCCTCTTGACAACGCCAGTCACCCCAAAAAGTATTTCATTGTAGTTCCCGTAAGTTGACATGGAGAGGGAGAGAGGGGAGGGGGGGGAAATGGACATTAAACGCAGCTCCATTCCAATAAACAGAACGGGCCTGGCCCATAGTTTGCAACTTGCTGAGACAGCTGGGGGGCAATACAATTAAACTGCAGGTTCATCGGGTTAGGTTTTTTTTTCCTCACTCCAAGAGCAGTCACAGCGTTGACTATCATGCACAAGATGGGGGGGGGGGATGTAATTGTAATCACAACCCCAGGATTGTAACCCAAGCGTCAAAACGAATAATGGAAACACGTCTCTCCCAGAGTCATAGCTGGGCTGCGAAACTGGCAAACAATTACCCTGCTCTCATGAATAATGTCACAGAGGCACCTCGCCGTCCACGTGGTGGCACAACCGTGCGCCGCGGTTAATGAATGCCCTGCATAAATTACAGGGTGGCTACGATGGGGGGGGGGGGGGGGGGAAATGACACCGGGATTCATCACGGGCTCAGACGCGGGGCTTGCTACCTGGCCATCAATCGTTGCACAATGTTGGTGCGTGTATATAAACTCGGGTAGCCTATGCTGTCACCGTCCGGAAGTCTCCGCTCAAATCAGGCAGGGCGAATTTTTATGCTGGATGCAATGTATGAATTGTGAACCAAACACGTCCGAATCGATCACCGCACGGCGAGCGCGCAAGCACACGTGGCAATCTTGCAAGCTTACAAAGGAGCCAGTAGATGGCAGTACAGCAAGTGGGTCACAAACATCTCCGCATAGCAAATAGTTATATGATCGTATTAATTTGACACGTAGGCTTTCGCGACCAATAATATTCAAAATAAAGGTTTTGGGGTTAGATCGCGCGGGCGTAAATGTGTCGTAATTACTCTGGCACATCGCCGGATGATGCTGGATGTAATTACCAGCGAAACGTCGTACTCAAATTGTAAATGTTGTGGATTTACTCTTCAACACACCGGTTGGCTGAAGTAGCAACTAATTGGCATTTTGTTTACGTGACAAATCCCTTACTAAATGTCGGGTGGTGGAGGGCTACGACACATTCATACTTACGCGATCTAACCCAAAAACCTTTATTATGGATCGTATTAATTATTTATCCATCCATCTACGAGAAGTTTTATTCATTCAATTTGTACCCGTTGCAATACAATGATTTCATAATGGAAAACTACGTCAATGCTGGACTCTCATGAAGAGCAGCCTTCACACTCCGTAATCGCCCCAATCCTGGATAATTAAAGGAATGAATGCATACCTGTCCACCCCTTATCAGTGCCTATCTTATTACGGCCGAATTCAGACCTGATTGGTCACCCCGTGCCCCTTATAAATCGCAACGTTAATCCTACCGAGTCCCATCACAAGGGAGAAACGCAAACAAATAGACACGAAAAATGTTGCCCGCATTGAAACGGCTGTTGCGCCATATGGATCTGAAAACGCAACTTCCCTGTACAAGAATACTGGTAGACCGAATTGGTTCACAGGTATGTATATGGATTTAGTATGTGTATCACATACATAACTAACGAGGTTCGTTTAATCCCGGGCATGCAATAACATTTCAAATATTGACCCAAAGGGGCCGTTCGAGTCAATGATTCCCGGTAACAATTATTTAAACAAGGCAAACTTCAACCCCTGTCAGCAATAATTGTCCAATGGAGACCCTAAACCCCCGCCATAGGCACGTGGAATGCCCAAAAGTGACTGCAGGGCTGCCAAACACAGTGCCTCGAAATGGGGGGGGGGGGGGTGTCCCACCCGGGGGGGTGTCCCACCCATCCCACCCCACGGTGCTTGCGCGAGACAAATTTGACGTTTGACTCCTGTGTGTCCCGGGTAAGCGACGGAGTGAACGTTTCGCTAACGTTATTTGTACACTTGCTGGCGACGGAACGAAGTCAAGGAAGGGGGAGAACAGTGACAAATGGCAGCGAAAGATTAATTCAATCGAAAGGCGGCCACGTGGAGCGAGACGGGTCTGGCTTGGGAGAGACCCCGACGGAAGCTCATAAACGCGGCGGTGCGGAGATAGGGTGGGAAGGGGGGGGGGGGTCAGGGCGACGCGGTGAGTGATTTGGAGGGGGGTGGGGGAGACAACGGTGGGCCGACAGACCTTCGCCGGACAGCGCCGGGGCGAGAAAAAAAGAAACCCACCCCACCGGACATTGATGACCTCCCTGCAGCATCTCGCGGTGACCCCCTTTGACGGTCCCCTCGTGTGGGAAGGAACCAGTTCTTTTTGTTGTTTTTTTAGGCCACTTACCAATGCATATAATATTTCACGTTTATTGACCCTCTCTCGCGCACGCACGCGCACGCGCACGCACGTCTGCTCCCGTCGCCCCCCATTCCCTCCCCCGCCCGCACCCCGGCGCGACATTCGCACGTCCGCTGTTCGATCCGACGAGCCACGAGGTGCCGGGCGCCCGCTTCATTCGGTTCCTACGACGGCGCTCCTCTTCGTTCACGGCGATCGGTAGCGGGGGGTGGTGGACGTGGGGGGGGGGCGTCTATGGACCGGTGGTCCCTGAGATACAATTGTCCAGAAGATTCACGAAAAAGCAGCACGAGATTTGGCGCCTGCCCGTGGCTGTCCCTCGCGAGGCGGTGAGCTGTGTTGGGGTGGCGGGGAGAAGGGGTTGGGGGGGGGGGTGCATCGATTTCAACGTGGATGCTACGGCGGCGCAGCTGGCGCAGAACTGATAGTTTCATAACTTTCGCAGCCATCATTCGTGCTTGGCGTTGCACGCTTTCAATTGACGCCGCAGCCACAGTCTATCGGTTTATTTCACTCGTCCCCCCCATTCATCTTTCAAAGGGGGTATTTTTATTACGCAATTCATTTTTTTTCTCCTTCCTCAGGATCCCTTCATCTAAACGGATACTCCCATTCCCCCATCACCCTTTGTCTTCTTCTCCACGTAGCCACCCGGGGCCCTCTCTCTGCGTTATTCTTTGAAGGCCACGTTCAATAAACGCCCACTTTGAATGAAACGCGCGCGCAACAGTTCAACTAAATGTGTTGCATTGACACCCGTACAAATGTCAAGTCAGCCAGAGCGAGAGCATCATCATCATCACCACCGGCAGCAAGCACCTAGCCAGTGGTTTTAACAGCAACAAAAACTCCACCTTCCTATGGCAGGTGGCAAGTACCGTATCTCATTTTTATCGATCCTGGAAGGACAACGGTCACTGTTGGCCCCGACTGGGACGTTTAGTCGCAAGCTAAGTGAGGTGCAAATCTGACTACAAACACCACCGGTCCAGAACCTGTACAGTAGAGTACGAATCGAAAAAACAAAAACACCGCAACACATTTACATACACAGCAGGACTGCCTGTTCCAGCAAGAGACTGGCTGCAAATGACTCCTCACGTAGGAATGTGGAGATTCAAGCCCCGACCGACTCTGGGTCGGCGAGCTAACCGGGAGATTTAACGACGCTCGAAAATTTGCATTGCGTCTATAATATAAGCTTCTCAACACGTGCTTATGAATCTCAATGCGATTTGGTGCTTTCGTGACTGCAGGAAGTACTTTTTGGTTCTTTTCGGTAGAGTCGCGTAGAAAGAAAACAATAAATTAAGCAATAGTGAAACGTCGTATGCTATTATTGAATTTATTATTTTATCTTTCTACGTGACTTTACCGAAAGAACCAAAGAATCTAAATGTGTTGACCGTTATCGTTTTAGACCACCAACTCAAAAGCGTTGAGAAAATCCGGTCATCCCAAAAGGCAGCGGTGAAACTAAGTTGACAATTGTAGGCCGGTTTCATGCCCATTCGCATGCATCAGGACAGTCGTCATCAATGTCAAACTAAAAAAGCTATTTAATCTAAACTATTTTTGTTTATCTTACCAGGTAAGACCCGCTGAGCTATATAGCTCTTTTTCGGAAGCTACCTGACCACAACCCAATGAAGTGGCTTACCGTGTGGCAGCCAAACGCTCTAAATGTGAATGTGAAGGGAAAAATCAGAGGAAGTGGAAAAACATGGACGCGACCACGGGGAGAGAGACACGCAAACTCCAAATACACAGGCGTCACCCACGACCTCCTGTATATCAGGCAAGGTATGTTCTCTGCTACCATATTCCCCGAGCAGCCCCGTACATGATGACCCATTAGCAACTGCCTAAATGGCAACAACGATTAAAATGTGTAATTGACACTAGAACCCAGTACAAAATAAACCTTTGTGAAGGCCGGAAATAAAATGTATCAAACAACATGCAAATATGTACGCTGCATGTGCAGTGTGGCTCAGATGTCTTGTGACCCCAATGGTGGGGGGGGGGGGGTGTCACGGGACATCTGGACCACCCTGTACAAAAACCCCTCAGCCTTGTTCAGACCACCAGCCCCAAAATAACCGAACGTGTGGCCATATTTTTATTTTGAGCTAGCGGTCTTGGTCGACTCCTCCGCCCCCCCCCCCCCCGAGTCATCCCAACTAAAGTTGGCCGACGTTTTGGGCTGGAGCCCCGTTTCATCACGGTGGTTTCGATCGACAGGCTAGCCCAAGGGGGGTTCGGCAAAACCAGAATAAGGGCCATTTTTAAAATTTATTTATTTCAAGAGCCGCAACGCAAACGTGTGAGAAGGAAACGGTGTGGTCTTTAAATGAATAACGTCTGGAGCTGTCACTTAAAAAGAGCCGAATGCGGCTTTAAAAGCCGCAAAAGTTTGCCTACCCAACTGGGCTCACGTTAACTCCCGACTTTAGAAATTACGGCCAAGTGGAACAAATACGGCGTGAGACAAGTAACATCACAAAACCCCAACATGTATTATTAGCCAGCCATAATATTTATTTTACAATGCTGTAAACATTTTTCTTTTCATTCCACGAGCTATGTGGACTCGGCCGCCCAACTCCTGCCGATAAACTTGAGCAATTTGGGAAAGAAAAGTGGAAATTACACTATTCAACAAGTGGAGTTGTCCGTAAACTTGAATTCTGGGAGAAGCAAAAAAAAAATGAGGTCAACTCAAGCGATTGAGTCAGCCTGAATTGGCTATTCATGGAAACAAGATTTAGATGAATCAAAGCAGCCTTTTCAATCGGGTGTAACGGCAGCAATCTGGATCTGTGCACGCTTGTGATAATGACAGCAGTGATAGGCACTCAATGTTTCAACTTCGGCTAACATCGCCTGCGTTGAAAGGTTGATTTTGGATGACAGGCAGTCAATGAAAAGTTTAGGAACAGTTTGTTCAATACTCACACAAGTTGGAATCCATATATAATGAGAAAAAAGTGTAGCCGTTGAGTACAAAATATTAAAAAAAAACTTGGGAGCTAACAGAACTTGAATTTGGTGCGCCTTATATCATCCGTATTTCTGTGTGCGGGCAATGTGTTTTGTATCAATGGAGCTGTTCTGCCCATTTGTAAACATCGTCATGATTCACACAGTTGTAACGATATTTGCAGCTTCACTCTATGGGACGTCTCATCCTTGTCTTTTTTTTGTTTATGCCCCAAGATGATAAAACGACGAAGAACAGCATCGCCGGTCTTCTCGTTACCCTTGTCACTCTCCCCCTCTTGACTTCCCGATTAAAGCAAAACAAAGCTCGCGTGGACTTACGCGAACGTTGCACGTGACATTTGCACCGTTATACGACTGTTTAACGCCTCGTTTGCTAGTTGTGCCACATTCCTCAAGGACCTTGTATTGGTTCTCTGCCATATTGATGTTTTGTCGTTGTCTTTGTTGTGCTCACTCAACGGAGCTCTCCCCGTGTAACATAGTCAGGAGACTGGCTAAATGGGATAATCTGTGTACCAAATAAAATAACCTTAAATAAGCTTAAGTTACGCGAAGGAAACACCATCTTTGATCATATGTCTGTCATGTAATGGACACCAGGGTGGCGAGATGTTAACTGCCTCGCCTGGTGTACTGGAGGTCGTGGGTTCGATCCCGACCCTCACGTCTGCTGTATATATGAAGTTTGTGTCTCTCTCTCTCTCTCCTCGTAGTCGCGTGGACTTTTTTTCTGTGTTCTAACGTTTTTTCCTCCACATTTAGAATCAACGCGCGTTTAGATTGTTTGGCTGCCACAAATGCCCACGCGATAAGCCACTTCATTGAGCTATCATTGTGGCCAGATTACTTCTGAAAAAGAGTGACAATATAGCTCAGTGGGGCCTTACCTGGTATTTTTTTTTTTCCCTTCTTCATGTACTGGAAAAAAAAAATTGCAGATATGCACCAGGATCATCCCCCATTTACTACACCGTTTTTTTTTTCCACAGAGATAACAAACGTTCCTCTCATTTACAGGGCGAGTGGGGAAAGTGCTGGACAAGAGCGGCACTTGAAGAGATTGCAGAGGGTGTATTCTCTGTAGTATCCCCTACGAGTCGCCTACAGCGACCCGACATCTCACACGAAGGGTCACACTCCGCTGTGAGACAACTTAACGGGTGCTTGAACGCCATGACGGCGAGCACAACTCAGACGGATTTGGGGGAAATGGCCAAATGAAATGTCGACTTGCACCACCCTCACAATGACACGACTATGACAAACAAGAGGGTTTTAACTCATGGCTGCTTTGCTAAGCCACCATACCGTCTGATATCAGAATATTGGAAGCGTGGAGCCGCTTTTTTTCGAAAACGTGTCAAATAAATCCGCGTTACTTCACATGCAAAAGCCAATCGAGTTGTGCGTGTTGTTAAACATCGACACACACACTCACCGTACAAATTGGGCCGCGTCAATAAAAAACGGACGTGGACAAAACAAAGAGCTTCACAAACGCAACAACACAATAATATTTTAAGGTATGTACACAGACACCGCTTCCCAGCCACATTTAGCCTAAGAAACCACAAGGGTGCGTGTAATGAATGGGCCCTCGTAGCTATGGACGTTGCCTGTAATCCAACACCGCGGAGGCAGCCGGGGTTGGCGGATCACCGCACAAAATGTCGTGGAAAAACTCCCTTGCCGTGAGCGTCGAGGAGGTGCCAGACCCTGGCTCGCCCAGGAGAAGGCGGTACAGCAAGTGGACTCAATCGCCATCTGTTGCCACCTGTGCGGGGTGGGGGGGGGGGATAGGGGTGTTGCCCCCTCGCGCGCGTGGTGTTTCCACTGTGCACTCTGGTTTCTTACCAAGCGGTATTATTAATTGGCTCAAAAAATCTTAAAGTGAATAATAAAAACCCCAACGCAGCAGGCAGGAACCCTCCTGAAAACAAAAAAAAAGTATGATGACTCCGTGTGGCTCCACTAGACAAATAAGTAAATCATTATCATCCTTCTGACGAATTATTATGGAGGCCGACGTGGCATGCCAGTGTCCGGCACTAAACACAAATACGACAACGCGAAAGAAACGCCAGGATAACGCCGTGTTGAGTAGAGGCCGTTGAAAACGTTTGTTTATTTATTTAATCTCCCTGTTTATTGTGGCCTTGTCGACCTTGGGTAGTGTAGGGAGAGGGGTGACAGAGATCAGTTATTTCCATTCAGGGAACGCCATACCAAAGGGTTGAGGACCACGGCTCTGGTGGTGCATGCAGGGTTCACGTGAACCAATTACATACAAGATACTGCCGCGGTGGTGAGACGTTAACTACCTGGCCTGGTATACAGGAGGTCATGGGTTCGAACTCGACCATGTCGCATCCTGTATATTCGGAGTTGCGTGTTCTCTCTCGCCGCGGTCACGTGGATTTTTCTCCAGGTCTTCCGGTGTTTCCCTCCAAATGGTAAGCCACTGCCTTGAGCTATTACTTATGGCCAGGTTGCTTCTAAAGAAAAAGCTATATAGCAGCTCAGTAGGCCCTTACCTGGTCAAATTTAAATAGTTTATAGTTGAACAGTTATAGTTTTGCATGCATACATGTAAACAAGTCTAAAGTGCAACAACTCTGCGCGTGTTAGACGGGTGTTTATCATAAATTTTAAATCGGCAAGCGGTTACTTGCCCCCGAGTTGGCGAGCAACTTACAACAAGGACTGCCCATCACACGTGGAAGTGGGTGGTGCCAGTCCTTCCTAATAGCGCCACGCACGCCCAACCATCTTTGCCTCTCCGTTTGTGGTGGTCACGTGCTGCTCTGGCTGTGGCATTCGCGATTGCAGTATGGTGATCGCACACAATCCCAGACCGGAGGTCGGGACTTGAGTTGGCATTGAGGTGCCTCGTAGAGGTCTTGGTTGATGATGGGAAAGTGGTGGTGGTTGCCGCTGGCAAGAAACCATGTAAATTCCCTTTCAGTTTGCACATCTCTGTGGATATTTGGTGGCTGAATGCTCTAGAGTACGGGGAGCCAGGGGATTGGTCCCAGTTTCATCGTCTTGGTTATGATGCGCATTGCGTTATTTAGCCCTTTCCCAAATTCTGTTCCGATGACGTAGGTGTACGTCATCAAAACGAAACTGGAAGAAAAAAATTCCCCCGTCGTCATCGCCTTAGCACAGACTGTTGGGGGCAAGTGCCGTGTAGCGAGCAACTAATGCGGCGCACTAGGCGTTTGGGTGGCCAGCACCACGTCCGTCCACTTGCATCAGGCGCTTATTTAAGGCTGAGTCGACCTTGGTGCGGCACAGAACTGGTTCAAATATATTCGCCACTGTTATTGATCGTGAGCGGTACTCGGGTCACCGGTTTCGTGGAGCGGCACGCTCACCAATACACGTTCCAGGGGCGGCTTTGGACGAGATGCCAGCAACTGGTGCCCTAGGGCGAATCACGCGATCGGTGCACCCACCCCAAAACCTCAAGGGCACTGCTAGGCTGAGGTTTTCGGTAAGCTGGGAAACATTTTGCCTCTATTTTGCATTTGAAGTTTTTTTAAGCGTATATATTTTTTTTAAAACAGAGACGTAATTAAATTTTGATTTAAAGCTTTCGTCACTGCAGTGATTCATATTCTTGGTTCTTTCGGTAAAGTCACGTTGAAGGGAAACAATAAAATAATAAAATAATAAAAGAACCAAGAATAAGAGACGTAATTATTCGGTTTGTCTGTCTGCCCATCCGTCTGTCTGTTTGTCTGTCCAACCAATAAATTCTCAGAAATGAATTATAATTCATATTCCCTCTGTACGTGCACAGGAATTTAAATAACGACATCTTCGTTATTTTATTTGTATCTTTTCCCTCGAATTTGGCGCCCCCACACCGCCCCCACTTAACTTGGCGCCCGAGGCGACTGCCTCGTTCGCCCATGTGGGCGAACCACTCCACCCACAATAATGCTTCGTTCAGCTTATACGAGTTGAGCCAGTGCTATAAACCAACGCTGGTAATTCGTACACGTGCATGCAATCACACACACACACACGCGCACACACCTACAGAGATCGTGCTATTTGCCGTTTTATTTGTCCAACAATTCTCACACGTGGCCACAAACTAAAGGGTTGTGCAGCACCGGGCTTCGTGTGAAAACCACTGGCCGCCTTTAAAAAAAAAAAAGTTGTTGCAAATTCACCTGCACTCATTTCCGATTTTTTTAAATGCTGGAGCACAGATTCTGCCTTACACGTCCTAGAGGCCCCCCCTGCTTGTTCAGCCAAGCACTAGAGCAGTGGGGTTCTTCCTAACCTGGGGGTGCACGCACCCGCTGCGCGTGCGAGATGCCCTTTCTGGAGGCGTGAGACACGGCCAGACTTTTTATTTTCGAAAGTAAATAATCGAAAACACAAATTAAGCGCGGGCACATGAGCACAATTACTTTGTTTTTTTATCAAACCTTCGGATTTATTAACGTAAACGAGGGTTAAGAACCACAGCGCTTGACCCTTCGATGCACGGGGGGGGGGTGACCAAAACACCAAAAAAGAATAACCACACTCCGTCCCTGCACCCCCCCCCCCACCCCTTATCGGCTAACATCGAAGCACTTATTTTGTTGCTGTGCCATCACGCCTGTGTTGAGCATCGCCTCCGCGCAACACCGTTAAAACGGCCAAGTGACAGACACCTTGTCGAGCCAAATCGCGGTCGTACATCTGTCTTCGGCTGTTACAGCACTGTACTGTTATTTGTGAAACGCAGTCCCTTTTTGTTGTCGTTGTTGTTGTATTCCATGGAAATATCGTGAAGTCAAGGCGACGCACGTTGCGTGTCACTCTATTAAAACCCGTGTGGCTTTCTAAAATTGGCTGGCAGCCCCCCTAGGTAGCTTGATGTTCTAAAAATATATATATTAATTCTCCCTGGCTAAGAAAATGCTGCAGCAATTTATGAGTCACTAGAGGCTCCACCGGGTACCCCCCCCCCCCCCACCCCGTTGGCTTGTTTTGCCGCTCGCAATGTGCTAATTACCACAATAACCTCGTAGGCTAAATCACAGCATGGTTTCACCATCCGCTGAACTTGTTAGGGGGCGGAGGCGGCGGGGGGAAGGCCGCAAGCCTCAACTGTGAATGCACAAGTTGTTATTTTCGTCAATTGTCAATAGCAGCAGTAGCGGCGGTAGCGATGGAATATTAGTTTTGCTTTAAACGATTTGCCTTCTGGTCATTGTAAAACACTTTAAGTATTACTGGCTGGGCAGGTTGACAGTGCAACTGCATTGTTTGCCGGCAGTCAATTTTTTTTTTGTCCAGGGTTCCCAGACCTTCGGGAGGCTGATTACGATTAACATGACGTCGACCCTTTTGGTGCAGTTTAGAGGGAAGTCCATAACTGGTTACCGCGTGACTGGCGATTCCTAAGATGAGTGAAATCCACTGCGTGGCTGTTCGGGGAAGGCGGGCGGACGCTCTTGCCACCACAATGCCAACATCGGAGAGGGCCCTAATAAGCCACGCGCGGTGCACAGATTGGTGGTGCACAAATTGGTACCGCACGAGTTGACTTTGGTTTTTTTTTTGCCCAACTCATTAGAATGTTCATATTTCAAACTCCAGCAGATGGACCTTAATTAGCAGCGGTAAGGATGTTATCTTTTGAGTTACGGAATTTGCAGTGCAGCCAAAAACATATCCGCACACATTGCCCAACAGATCAAACACTGTACAGCGCTTCACTCAAATCCGCCTGACTAATTAGCTAATCAAGTCGTGCTATCATGTAGGCCATCATATAATTGGCCATGTACATTAATTTCTAATTTGCTATCCATTTTGATTAATTCCAAAGTCTGTAATGGCTGAACAGCCTTGCATGGAGAGAGCTAAAATAATAATAATCATCGTGATAATTATAAAAATAACGTGGGCTTTGGATCTGGGGTTTTTTTTCCCCCCAAGGGTGCATTCTTTTCATTTGGTCGTGACTTTCCGTTGCTCATCCCCGAGGAATGATTACAGCGAGGGAATCACTGCAGCCGTTACAGGAATTGGGACGCTTGGTTTATCAGGGCCAATATAATAATTTATATATTTTAAAAAATACCTTGCAGAGGGCTACAGAAAAATGCGGCATTTCACATGACGGTAACGTCACCTTGCTTACGCGATTATTTATAGACCCGTATTTTTTCATCTCCAAACTTTTGAGTGATGGCGACAACAAAATCGGAAATGGTCAGACACCGTCGCGATTTAGTGTTAGACTTTTAAAAAAAAACACATTTTATGTATTTATTCATTTATTTATTTTAAACCGAACACAATGATCAGCGCTGGAAACAAGGGCAATGGCTGCGGGGGTCTGCGGAAGAGTGGCGCGCTCCAACTGCGGAGGCATTGACTCGAAGGAAAATCCTCCTGGAGTCGTTGGGTAAAGAGGTCAAAATAGAATATGTAATCACAGACGGGAAGCGAAATTCTCAAATGCACAAGAATGAAGGGGGGGGGGTGGGGGTGGTGTGGGAACCCACAAAATAAATAGCAGCAAGACACACGATAAATAATGTGTAGATAAAACAAGCAAAGTGTCTGTTTAGAATAACAACTCGATTTTTGAAAAAAACAAACAAACATTTGTCTGATAGCGGTTCAGCAAAACCACGGGCACTGTCTTAACCCATTCACGTATCGATCATTGCTTTTCAGAAAGTTTAGTCACAGGTATACCCCCCCCCCCCCACTCTTCCTCAATTAGCAATGGGGATTTGTTTTTATATTGGCAACAATTCAATGGAAAGTTTACTGTTAAAGTCCTGTACAGATAAACTCTCCTTATCCGAACAGGGAGGGCTCTCGGGGCGGATCCCATTATATGTTTGTCCATGGAAATTACTCCTTTCATCTGCGCTTCTTGGCAGACTCCTATGACCGTTTTGTAACTTCTGGTTCACTAATCTTATCAATGAAAAGGGTCTGGATTTATAGAGCTTTTCCATCGATACAATTTGGGCACGCGGATAATTACAATGATCAGAGAGTGGACATGGATTACTGGCGAAACGTCGTACTCAGATTATAAATGGGCTTTGCTCTCCAACACACTGGTGTAATGTACTAGTAATGCATTTGATTGTTCTATTTAGGTGACAAACCTTACTAAATTAGTTGTGTCGGGTTTAACGACACATTTATATATTTACACAATCTAACCCCAAACAAAAACCCCTGAATCATGGATGATATTGGTCGCGAAAGCCGACGTGTTAAACTGACATGGAAACTACGTTTCACTGTGCAGATGGTTGGAAGTGCTGTTACAACGGTGATAAGAATACTCTGGCCTCTGTCATGAGAAAGTGGAGTTCACACTCCTTCTGG